GTGGTTATGTGTAGTGTGGTGATGTACGAGCTTTCTGTTGTGCTGTAACTGTTGTTTCTGTTGGTTGTGTTGTGTGTTTACTTTGGGGACTACGGGTGGTATCCCGGTAGATCCCCATGCACATTTACATTTCGGGACTACGGATCAAGATTCTGGTAGATCCCCGGCGCACTATGAGTTGGACTACGGGACGACACCCGGGAGATCCACTAGACATTTACATTTGGGGGCTACAGGACGATATCCTGGTAGATCCCCGGTTTGCTGGATATTTACATTTGGGGGCTACAGGACCGTATCCTGGTAGATCCCCAGTTTTGCTGGATATTTACATTTGGGGGCTACAAGACGGTATCCTGGTAGATCCCCGGTTTGCTGGATATTTACATTTGGGGGCTACAGGACGGTATCCTGGTAGATCCCCGGTTGTCATTTCTGTGTTGAGCTGTATTCTTTCTGCGTTATTTTCCCCTGTTAAAATCATTGTGTTCTGAGCTGATATTTTCATTGATCCTATCCCTGTGTAAACATTATAGGTGCTGTCCGTTCCATTCCTTATACTTACTAGTTGGTGCGAACTATGTTAGGACACTTGCACAAGCATACACGTGGTTAGTCACCCTTATCGGGTAGGAGGCTCTTTGAGATTTCTGAGTATGGACACACCCCTCGTTTATTTTCCTTCCATGTGAGAATGACTCTTTGGGCACGTGAGTTGTCAGTATGATTATGAGATGAGGTGTCACAGGGTGACTTATATTCGAAGGATATTTATTTGAAAGGGTTATATTCGAAAGGTATTCATTATTCGAGGACTATTTCAGAAAAATGTTTACTTAAAGAAGTATAATTCGAAATGTTTTTATCAAATGAAAGATTTGACTAATTGATTGAAGTTGTTGGCTATGACCTAATGTGAAAGATGCCGTAGTTGCTGAGTTATGATCTGTCCTTACTGTATTTGTGAATTTCGAATTTGGGTTGTATTTTTTTGTTCACTTTTTATGAGCTTTATTATGGTTTTTCCACAGTTACTTGCTGTTTCCTTTTCCTTATTATAGTTACTGTATTGTTAGCAATATCGCTTAACCTTTATATGGATATCACGTTCGGTTGTTTCTGCACTTATACTTGTTCTGCTTATTAGACCAATAGGTATCTTGACTGTTCCTTGTCACTACTCCACCGAGGTTGGTCTTGATACTTACTGGGCACCGCCGTGGTGTGCTCATACTACACTTCTGCACATTTTTTTTTGTGCAGCTCCAGGTACTGTTCGCTAGTAGCTGAGCGGATTCTTGCCGAGGAGACTCGAGGTAGCCCTGCAGCTGCGTTCGCAGGCTTCGGAGTCACCTTCCTATTTTGTATTCACACTGTTGTACTTATTTCCATACGGTTGCGTTTAGAAATGGTAGCGAAACTCTGTAGAGCTTATGACTTGTACTACCGGGTTTTGGGAAGATGTTCATTGTATAAGGGATTTATTTCAGAAGAATTTTAGATGTCATTATTTATTGTTGTTATTCCGAAATTGTTAGGCTTACCTAGTCCTTAAGACTAGGTGCCATCACGAAACCCAACGGAGGGGAAATTGGGTCGTGACATCCAACATCCAGAATCAGAATCTGACCCCGATATCAAAAAGTCCACTTCTGGTCAAACTTCTCAAAAACCTTCAAATTACTAACTTTAGCCAAGTTGACTCCAAAATGATCTACAGACCTCCGAATCCGCTTTCGGACGCGCTCCCAATACCAGAATTACCATATGAAGCTATTCCCAGATTCGGAAATCCCAAATGGACATCGATAACCTTTAAATGCACTCCAACCCAAATTTATGAAATTCTTCCAAAATGCTAACTTCCACAATAGGCGCTGAAACGCTACCGGGTCATCCAAATCCCGATCCGTACATACGCCCAAGTCCAAAATCATCATACGAACTTGTTGAAACCCTCAAATCCCGACTCCGAGGTCGTTTACTCAAAATCAACCCTTAGTCGGTTTCTTCCAACTTAAAGCGTCCAAAATGAGTTCTCTTTCCAAATCAACTCTGAACTTCCGAAATTCCAGTTCCGACCACGCATAAGTCATAATACCTTAAGTGGAGCTGCTCATGGCCTCAAGCCGCCGAACGACGCGCTAGAGCTCAAAATGACCGGTCGGATCGTTACATATGCAGCCCAAACTATTTACCCGGCCCACCCATTAGCTATTTGCCTTCGCATTTGAAGTATAGAATGTTAAAACATCCAACATCCAGCTTCATTTTTGTAAGCTTACTTAGTAGCTATTAACTAAATAATTTGTCCTTTCTTTATTTTTAAGTAGCACATCCGATTACTTAATATACTAAATTTACCATATCTGATTTTTATGTGTATATGAAGACCCACCATTGTTGAGCTTGAAGCTCATGAATTTGAAATTTTATTTTGAAGATTTTGTTGTTTGATTCGAAGTGAGTGCTATAAAATATTGCTTATAGTACCTTCGAGCAAGCTTCTCGGATTTGAAATTTTTATGTGTATTTGAATATCCACCACTGTTAGGCTTGAAGCTCTTGAATTTGAAATTTTTATTTTGAAAATTTCTTATTTGATTCAAAGTAGGTGTTATTAAATATTGCTGATAGTACCTTTTGGAAGTTTATACCGAAATTTGATCGCATTTGGAGCTGATTTGAGGTAATTGAGATCGAAATTTTCAACTAAAAATTGAAGAACACAGTTACCCCATAGTATATCACTACAATATACAATATACACTAGGAGTATATAGCTATACCGCAACAATATACTGTTATAGAGCACAATATACTGCAACAGTATACTATAATGATATGCAATATACTGCAACAGTATGCTGTAATAGTATACAATATATCATAATAGTATACTTCGAATACTATTTGTTGAATCATCTAGGTGCTATTGTGCAAAGCTAAAGTCATGGTTATAGTAATATTATACTGTTATAGTATACAATATAATATAAGTATGCCGCAATAAATAAGTCATTTTTTATTTTTATTTTTAATTTTTCCAGCTAGGTCCTTGCAAATATTTTCTTAAATGAATATTTTTGATGAAGTTCCATGAAAATAATATCCATTGTGTAAGAAGTAGGTGTCGAAAGACATAAAATAGTAATATACCTATTTTGATAATTGATATGGAGAAAAAGAAAAAATATGGAAAAAGAAGGAAAAAAATAATCTATCAATTATTTTTTTATTATATAATAAAGGGAGAAAAAATAAAGAAAAGAATCAAAGAGTGCAAGAAAATAGCATATGGAGAAAAAAAAAGAAAAAAATGAATAAAATTATAAAACAATTTGGGTGGTAATATTAGAACAACTCTTTCAAATCAAATATGTTAATAAGCTCTAGAATTAAAGGATGAGAACAACTTAACTATTAATGGAACAAGATAAATTTCTTTAGTGAAGTCCATTATTACACCTTGCATGTGACAAGCTTAAGTGGGGGAAAAATAACAATTAAAAAGTACAAAGCAAAATATGAACCCATAAATGTTGTTGATCATCAATAATAATCTATGATCCATGGAATAGGTAGACCAGATAAATACTTTGGTTTAGATAGAGACGGATAAATTATTTGTGTTCGGTAGGTATTTGTGAACTTATCCCTAAAAACTTAGGAACTCGGTCCTGGGCAACTTGGGCTTGTTTAAGGCAAGTTTACAGGGAGTTCACAAATAATCACTCTTCATCTCTTGTAATTGGAAAAGAGCCATTGTCATGAAATTTCAAATTTCAGGATCATAAAATTTAAAATCTACGACAATGACTATTTTTCAATTACTTGACTAAAAAGTGGCTCGCTCTCGTTATTACTACGATCTACTGGCAGAATTTTGGAGGACTTGTATCTGTTGTCAACGTGGGGCAACTTGGTTTGTCTGAAAATCTACGTTCCACACCTCCTAAAGTTTATCATGTGTAGGGATGATAAATGGGAGGGATGAGCTGAATTTGGGCGGATCAAGATGGATTAGATCAATAATGGGGTGAAATTCAAAATAGCCAGATTTACAACTGGTCGTTCAAAAATAGCCCAGTTTCAAAAGTAATCGAAATTTAGCCATTTTTCATGTAAAAATAAATCTGAGCGAAAACACAGTTCAAAACCCGGAAAAATACGCCAGTATCTTATGCTGGAGTTCCAGCATAAGTATATTTGAACTCCAGCATATTATATTGGAGTTCCAGGATAAGTATGCTGGAACTCCATCATAAAATGTTAGTCCAGCCCATTAATCTCTGGGCGAGTTGGATGAGTTTGAGCTCAAATTGCCACCCCTAATCATGTGTTAGGAAATATTTCGTGGCACTGCAATCAATTTTATTCTGTTACAATTTTTTTCATTGATAAAAGTGGTATTTGAACTAACTTGAGCGTGTCTTGACTAACTCACAGAGCAGCCCTCTACAGTCACAAGCAAGTGCACCAGGCCAAGGCTTGGATAAATATGCTCGATATCAAACATTAGACCACCCTCTTGGACATTATTCATTCTCATAAAAACTTTGTATGTCAAACAGTACAGATGATAACAAGGAAAAGGCATTTCTTAAAATTCTAAACAGATGTATCTATAACTATTTTATTGAAGATTGTGGTGTTCGGGCTATCCTATGCACTGTGTATCTCGATTATTCTACTGGGTATCTGCTATCTCTTACTGGCATATGTATCGGGTAACTCTGCCCACCAAGACCTAGAGAGATGGAAAAATATCACCAAGTGCTTTTTATTTTGTCTCGGTTGGAATTTGAACTTGAGAGCTCACGGTTCATCTCCCACTTCAACGACCACGTGGCCAGAATCTGGCCTTTTTTCCCATAAAATTGACAAACTGTTTGGTTCAGTTGGCTAAATTAAGTTGATTTGAGCAAAACACTGCTGACAACACAGGAATATGATATGAAAAGCAAAGAAATCTAATGTCAATTCTGCAATGGAGTGCATTGAACATATATGGTGACCTCCTCTTTATTCCAGTTTTGGCACAAAACAACAGAATAATTTGGTTAAACAGTCTGATATTATCAAATAGCAACAACTAAATGTTTGAATGAAGAAGCTAATTACATACTGAACAAAAGAAAAAAATGTGTAGAAAGTTACCTATTTCGCTTCCCGCTCAGAAGCTCCCTATGTTTCTTGGAAAAAATCAAAGGAGATTTTCAACAATTTCAACTTATCAAGTTGATGAAATTCAGAGACAAATCTTGTATATTTCTATAGATTGAAGAGGGTATTTCATGTACTTCTTGAACATCAACTTCATCCAAATAGGTGTCAATAAGAGAGAGTAAGTTGTTCATAATCTGTAGTCAACGTCAGATATAAGTGAGACACGTGTTATAAAAGCACATAAGAATTTAAATTTTGAGATAAGTTTGACAGTTTTATCAAAATCAATACCCTTAAAGATCAATTTGATACTTTTCTCACAATCGATATTGAGAATTCATCACATATAGAACTATGTCACATATAAACTTAAAAGAAATGCTAATAAAACTCTAAGTTTATAGTACCGACATTCAGGAGTAAGATTCATGTTCTAAGGAACACATTTACACACTTTTTAAAGAATAACATTTGAATAACATCACTTAGCATTTATTCGAAAAGCTGAAAAGGATGAGTATAAGTCTTAATTATGAGTAGGATTTTTAGCAAAAGATTGAATGAAGAAGTTAACTATGTACTATTAATTTTTTATTTTTTTTAAATTTTCTAAAACGTACTATTCAATTGAATAGTCATTTTATGAGAAGCTCCCTATGTTTCTTGAAAAACTCAAAGGAGATTTGCAAAAATTTCAACTTATCAAGTTGATGAAATTCAAAGATAAATCTTGTACATTTCCTTAGATTAAAGAGGATATTTCATGTACTTCTTGAACACTAACCTCATCCAAATAGGTCTCAATAAGAGAGAAAGTTGTTCTGAATCTTCTGTTGTCAATGTCAGATATAAGTGAGACACGTATTGTCAACGTCAGATATAAGTGAGACACGTACTGTAAAAGCACATACAAATCTAAAATTTGAGATAAGTTTGATAGTTTTGTCAAAATGATACTGAAACTGAAAATCACTGAAGAGTAACTTGATACTTTTCTAGCAATAGATATGGATAATTCATCACATATAAATTTAAAAAAAATTAATAAACTCTTAATTTTATAGTACCGACATTCAGGAGTAAATTTCATGTTCTAAGGATCACATCGTTACATTTCCTTTTAGCTGAATCAGAATTAACAGTTCCTCGGTTTGTGAATCAATTTTCTGAAAGATTGACAAGCAAAAAATAATTTCAAAATGAAAAAAAAAATTCTCTATTTTTTCGTTTCCCAGTGACAATTTTACAGGACTAATTTCATGAACAATTTTTTTTTTTTTTTTAAAACAAGAGAACCAATAGACATTCGAATAGAAAATTAGAACAGAGGAAAAGAAAAATAGAAAAAAATAAAAGGACCTGAATAAGGAGGGCATCCTAATAAGCTCCGGGAGCGGCAGACGGCGGCTCGCCGGTGCCGATAATGGCTCGAATCCCGGCGGTAACCCTTGGAAATTGGTAATGAATCTCCATTTTCTCAAGCTGTATATGAATAAGCTTACTAGTATTATACTTTTCAAACGAAAGTTCAGGGTATTCATGTATTTTTCTCCTCACTGATATTATCCATTTTACATGCCTTTTTTTTTCTTTTTTCTGGCTAAAATTTTTGCAGCAATTAATGAATAATGAAGCAAGAAAGATGGAAAGGAGTAATGCTGTTTCACACAAGATTGAAAATAGATTTTTTATGGAAATTTCAACAGGATAGAAGTGAAGATTCAAGATAGAGGATGAGAATATGAAGGTTTTGTATTTTTGAGATGAATTAATAGAGAAAACAAGAAATTTTAAGAGAGTGAGAGTGGTAAAGGACACAGAGAGGCAGTAAGGGAGTACAAACAATAACCAACAAGGGTTGTGGTGGAGTGGTAATTACTCCTTCATCCTTAACCAGAGGTCTCGAGTTCGAGTACCTGGGTACAGAGTCGCCTTTGTTAGAGAGCGCTTTACCCCCAATATGAGACTTCTGACGCGAATCGGGATTAGTCGAGCCCCAACGTGAATACCAAATACTACTCGGTGAGAAATTAAAAAAAAAAGTACAAACAACACGTGCAGAAAAATAAGGACAAAAAATTAGTTACAAAAAGAGTAGGATTGACTGATTGCTGATTTAAGTCACATGGTGGAATTCACTGGATAAGCATGTATATTGATAGATCAAATGGGCTTCCAGTATCTAGGTTCACAGCCCAAAATACCTCTTTCTATGGGTCGAAATGGCTTGGTCCTGCATTAGATTTGCCGGTAGCCAGTTTTGATCATGCTATTTATTTGGAAAAATTATGCGATACATAGTGTATTTATCATTCATAGCTATACTTTCAGCTAATTTACTATTTTTCATTATATTTGAATTTTATAGTAAATCTGTGAAACAAGAGACTAATTATTTTCAACTGAAACAAGAAAGCAACAAGCTCTCGTAGCTCAGTTTGTTGGAGGGTGTGGTTAGTTAGTGGAGGTCTTGAGTTCATCTCTCAATAAGAGCATTTTATTTTTTCGTATTTCTATATTTCCCCTTAGTTGTATTCGAATGAATGCAGTGTTGTAATTAAGCAAATTATAATTACTAGGCTCTATATTATAGTGATTTATAAAAATTCCTCTTATTTTTATGTTTTTCAAAATATTTAACTGATAGTTAATATTGCAAACTTCGGACAAAATTTCTCCGCTTCTTCTTCTTATTCTTCTTACATTAGATTGAATATGTTTTAAGTATATGTATTTGATTTCCGATGACTTCTTTAATGAATTTTGTGCTTAGACGTGCCCCCCTTAGTCAACCTTTACTTTCTTGAAGTCTCGTAATTTTTGGACTTTTTTATGTAATAAAGATAAAAAGGCAAAAAGTTACTTAAAGAAGAGGCTTTGAGTAAAAAAAGATAACGCCATTAGTCAAGGTAGGCTACTAGATCCTATGAGAACAGTAAAATATATTATACATAATAAACTTGATGCATGGATGCCTAAAGTTCAACCAAAAATACTTGAAGTTCTGTCATATATGTCTATAATTTCATGCATATATGCCTGAAATTTAGTCATATATGTTTGATATTTTTCAGGTAATAAATGCCCGAAGTTTAGTCATATATGCCCGAAGTATAGTCATATATGCTTGAAGTCCAGACAAAAATGTTTGAACTTCGTTTTTACAAACAATATATCAAACTTCAGGCAAATTTTGTAAATTCAGACGCGAATTTTTGCAACTTCGATTGCATATATATCAGAAATTGATTCTGAAGTGGCTAAACTTACAAAAACTCATAAACTTTGGCTATGACTTAAATGGGGTCCCGTAATTGACTACTATGCACTTGCCCCCTTTGTCCCATAATACAATGAATTTAAGATGTTGGAATAAAAAATTAAATTAAAATTGCATATATATTGAGATTTAGCCACGTATTCAAAAACTTTAGGTCCACCACAATCTGCATATCGAACTAGGGGTTGAAGATCATGAGTTCGCTGGTACGAGACAACTTAGGATATGTGTTTGATGTGAGGGAAAATATTTTTCTGAAAAGTACTTTCATGATTTGATTTTTTTGTTTTTCATTTCATTACATCGACTAAAGAGTGCAAATTAAGTAATATAGGATTGTGTTACAACCAAAAGTATAAAAGCTACTAGCACTTAATTATCATTAATGACGTTACAATTTAGTTTTGAGAACATCTGCAGACACTTGTGCCAGGTGCGCAAAGTCTTTATTTAACTGACTCAACTGTGATTGCCCGCATGAATCTTCACAAGTGAGAGCTCTATCTCCAGCCTGCAAAATAGATGCAGTTGCTTGTGCAAATTGACTAGATTCCACTTGGTGAATTGAATTAGGAATATATGTATTGATACAAGAAATATAGTTGTCTGAGCAACTATTCTGGCATTTGGTGGGAGCTAATTTCTCGATTTGATCTGAATTATCTCTGGCCTTTTTTAAACATAGTTGAAGAATAGTATTTGCTAGCCCTTTAAAATCATCAGTAGGTCCCCTAGGATCTGTTCTAAGAGAATTTTTACAGAGATTGGGATCAAGATTCTTATTGCAAATATCATCTATTTGATCCCCATAAGATTGGTTCACAAAACAAAAGATGAGAAAAAGAAGAAACCCTTTGTTTTCCATTGTTTTTTTGTATATTTCTGAGTAGATCAAGGTGAAGTCCTTATGGTTTCCTTTAAATCAATCTCTTTAGTTTGTATATATAAATGCATTAATTTAATTTTTTTTCCTTTTAATGGTAGCGGATGTTACTAAAAAGACTTGATGAACCAAGATTTGCTACTAAATTTAAAGCAGTCATATGATTAAATGCTTAGAGATGAGTTACTAATTAAGATATATATATATATATATATATAACTATCCTTTTTAAGAAAAAATATTAACTTGTTAAAGCATCTCATTTGTTCCAAGATTCACTTTAACGATTGACTAATTTTTGTCTTCTCACCTTAAGAGTTGATTACTTGATTGTTTCCTTTAAAATCCAATCTTTTGTAAAATTATGCACTCTATAATTTAAGTGATAGTATTCCCATTCTTTCAAAATTATCTAGGTGCAAAATTCAATAGGTCTGTCTTCTCTAAGAAAACTCGGGTGATCAAATGAAGAAAATAAAATAAATTAATAAAGCGATGTTTTCATGGTTAAGTTCACACTTTTAGAAAATTTCGTGGAGTAGAGTCTAATCACGATACAAATGTCACGACCCAATTTCTCCTATAGGCCGTGATGACGTCCAACGTTGCCTCTAGGCAATCTAACGGTGAACTAGTCATGTATTTATTCCTTTTTAAAAATTTCAAAGTAGTTGATTCTTATTTATTAAAGGCGAAATGGCCTCGTGGCCACTTAAACTTGCACGAGATTTTAAAGCCGACGATAGAGAAAAGGAAAAGAAACAGAAGGGGGGGGGGGGGAAGTAAGGGTATTAAGGATTTTGGAGGGGGAGGGGCTTATTTTCTTTCTTTTTCTTTTGTAATTTTTTTAATCAAAATTATTGTCATGACGCGCTTAGTTTACGTGACTTGTACACACTTTGTCCACAACACCTCTGTCACGGCTATATGTGCAGGGTCAACGGTCAAATAGGTTTATTAGTTACCAAATACGCGAGTTTGAGTGTTCAAATGGAAAAATCTAAAGTTTATATATCGGCTTTAAAATCTCGTACAAGTTTAAGTGGCCACGAAGCCACTTCGCCTTTATTAAATAGGTGAGAAGTGGAAAAGTTATAGTAAAGTAAAGAGTAGCTAAAGAAAGAGTAAATACAGTGAAATAAATACTCAAAATCATAAAGTGTCTACTAGCATGTTCCCAAATCCCAGTGTCACAAGTGTACGAGCAACTAGTAGAACGCACAAACACCTATGCTATTGTCTGAAATAAGATAGACAGAAAGTAAATAGAAAAGAGATACTGTGGGTGCTGCAGAACGGGCTCAGAAAGCAGCTCACCACTATGCCTCGGGGTAACGAGGGTGCGCTCCTGAATGACTGCCAGGTGCACCTGCCTCAGATCCTGCATGATTAGTACAAAAGTGTAGCGTGAGTACATAAACAACATGTACCCAATAAGTATCCAGTCTAACCTCGAAGAAGTAGTAACGAGGGGTCGATATCGACACTTACTACAGACCAATAATAAAAATACAGAAATTCTAAATAGGCATGGAATACACGAATAATAATAATAACACAATAACCAGTGATGAATAAATGGTTCTTCAACTGATAGACAATTTAAAAGTCTCCAATTGTCACCTACTAACTTTCACAATTTCGGTCATTAAATAAAATATAAACTCTGAAGCCATAAAATAATATCAAGTGTAATCGGTCTCCGAGTATCATCACGTACGATTTATGTCGAGGTCGTACGGCCCGATCCAAAATACTGTGTGCACTACCGAGTGTCGAACGACACGAATCATAATTGCATCTATTATACTGTCGAGGCGAACGAACCGCTCCCATGAGAGTAGAGAAAAGTTTTCCTCGCTCGCGGAAATACTTGCGGCGCGAGAGGACATGGATTTCTCATAATTATTATGTATTCCTCAATTCTTCCAAAAATAAGAAATCTAAATCGAGAATTTGCAACTTTAAAATCCCTAGTCTCAGCTCTATTCAAAATAATTAATATGCATAATAAATACTATACTACAATTAAAGGCATGATGTGGATCTAAGTCTATCCGGACATCTCATGGAATGTAGCTACGCACGGACTCTCGTCACCTAGTGAGTACGTAGCTCTCCACACAGGTAATACACAACAAGCTATACATCTAAGGGGATGAGTTCCCTCTTACAAGGTTAGGCAAGAGACTTACCTTGTTCTCAAGCTCACTTCCGGTCCACAAATCCGCTCTAAAGCCTCAACTTGGTGCCAATCAATCCGAAACTAGCCAAATGTTATATAAACTAATCAAAACACACTACAAGTTCATAATATAGCCACTAGGGAAATTACCCAACCCAAATTGGAAGATCCCTAAAATTCACCCCGAGCCCACGTGCCCGAATTTCGAAAATTTTCGAAGATAAATGTTACCCATAACCTCATGAACTCAAATATATAATTTTTACCCAATTCCATAATCATTTTTCGTGGCTAAATCCCATTTTTATCAAAACCTAGGTCTTTCAACAATTTACTAAAATTTTCACATCTTACATGTTAAACTCTACCCATAATCTATGTATTTAACCTATATTAGATAGAAATTACTCACCTTACAATGCTTGATGAAAACTCCTCTCCAAAAAGCTCCAAATTCGGACCACACAAGTGAGAAATAGGAAAAATAAGTCTAAGTCCTGTCTTAAAATGTTTTCTGCCCAGTGGTCCTTATACGCGATCGCGATAGGGCATCCGCAATCGGAAGGCAAAAAAGCCAAGCCCAGAAAAAAGCCATTTGCGAACGCGAGAAAGGCCACGCGAACGCGAAGTCTTAGCTGGCCTGCCATTCGCGAACG